TAAATCAATCACTTTTGACAGGTAGTCCCCCATATTTTCTTCTAGTCTCCTATGCTAACCAAGGCTGCATTTATTATATATATATTAAAAAAACAACAACTGTAAAAACAGCAATATTGTGAAATGTTATTACAATATAAAATAACTCTCAATTTTTAAATATATTTTAAAATGTTATTTTTTCCAGTGATTAAAAAGCAGAATTTTCAGCAGACATTACTTCAGTCTTCAGTGTCACATGATCGTCTAATGTACTAAGTGGTTGCTCAAGAAGCTTATTTCATATCAGTGATGAAATAACAGCTGTGTTACTTAAAATTTTTGTGGCAACAGCTAATTATATTTTTTTCAATGTAATCAATGCAAAAAGTCTTCACTGTCACAACTGAATGCATCCTTACAGAATAAAGTATTACATTTCTTTCAAAAAACTCTTGGTGTTGCCTACATTTTGAACAGGAGTGTATTACAAAATATAATTTTATTTAGCACAACTGCTATATAAACACCAAATAACTCCAACATGTATAATGGAGTAAAATCATACCCATTTCCAGATACTCATAGAAGAGTCCAAACTGGCTGAAGTTCTGCAGATCGTGGTCCTGCTCCCATCTACTGTATGTACTCTCTGGATGACTTCGCCCTTTCCTGCTGCCCCACCAGTTTCTGAAAAGTCTGTGACACAGGCACAAGGGACCATTATGTGTGTGTGTTTTTTAGATATACAGTATATGGATAGTGCCTAGAGGACAATTTTAAAAAACATATGTGCAATAAAATTACAAGTAAAAAACAAACATTCTTAGAGGTCAAAGTTCAATGTAATGCTTACGGCAACAGAGCCTCTTGAACGTTCCCAACCATTTGTTTTCCAGCCATTACGATAAGCAGCTGTGTGGTCAGCTCAATCAGACAGCCCCCAGGGGTGCACTAAATATTAAAATGCATATCGTCAGGTTAGATCTACTTATTCTGATATTCAGCTGAAGAACATTAGGTCCTCTGACATACGGGTATTTCAGACAGTCTCACCTCTTCATTTCTCAGCTTGCTCCACTTTCCAAACATATAACTGTAGTTTCCCGGATAACCCACAAACTTCCCTTTAAAGAAGGCCACATAGAAACAGGAAGAGTAGTAGTTCACAAACTGGAACATAAACATCTTCATGGTCAGCTTATTCTCATACTCCAGATGGGTCTTGGGGATCTCTGAGAGTTAAAAAAAGGAAGATAGTAAAATATTTTCCATGCAGCTCAACAAACAGATGAGCAAATATGTGAGGTATAATGTACAGTCATTATCAGAAAACAAATACACACGGTAATTTTGTGATGACCATCTGACTTATTACATAGCTACTCAACAAACAAACTAATAAATGAATGAATAAATAAAGTGGACACATACTCATTTATTATAAACTGTTTTAATTAAGCAAACTATAAAACTTGCCATTTTCCAGAGACTGAAATGCATTTAACGTGTCAAACAACTCTAATTTCTTGTGTTTTCGCTCACCCATATCAGTGATCCAAATGGCCACATGCTCATAGAGGAAGTTGAGAATGAGGATAATGACAAAGTTGATGCAGGAAGCAGTGACAGAGGTGGCAAGTTGAGGGGTGATGAGAGAGCCCACCAGCTGGATCTTACTGGTGGGGCTGTCCTTCATGACGCTGGCAAACGCTGCATAAACTGCCAATCTGTAAGCGATCACTCCCATTATACAGGCCACTATCAGACACGTCTGACAAAACACAAAGAGAGGGAAGGACTTCTTAACAGACTTATCTTTGTTTAAATGAGCTACCAAAGTGTAAGTAATTGGTAGCCAAGGATAAAAGGTCAAATGTACAGTTTAAAAGAACATACTGCAAAATATGATTGACCAATCATAATCAAGTATTCCAAAGAGCTGTGTAATAGAGACTGATAACCTCTATCTATATAATACAATTGTGCTGTTTATCTTACTAACTCACCCAAAAGACAACAGTTGCTCCAGACAGACAGAATCGGGCACACTTGCTGGGGAAAGGAAGATAAGGCTCCATTTCCTGTTAGCAATAAAGAATGTGTCATCAGTTCAAGTTCCATAATTTGACTAGAGTTCAACTATTTTGTAAAATAAAAATCACTAGTATAAACAACATATATGAGATGATGTACACTTCTGTTGCATTAAACAATATTTTGTCTTTGCAATCTTTCATCTAAATGTAATAAAAAGTGGTTTAAAGCTAAAACAACTCAGCATTAACAAAAAGTATATTTGGACTACTTGAAGTTATTTGACATTCAGTAGCATATCATGACTAAGACTGCATATAGTGTTTACTTGAGAAACAAAAAACTAGAGATGCACCGATTGCAATTTTCTTGGCCGATTCCAGTTCTACTTCATCCAGTTCAAAAATATATATATTTACATAATAAAATAAATTATTAAACATTCCCCCAATCTGGACTAAGTTACAGATGTTCTCTCACTTAAAC